ACGTCGCTGGCTCTCCTGGCGCCTCCTGGCGCCGGGAAGCGCTCATGTATTGAGGGGTGGGCCGCGGGCCCGGCGGTGGGGCGGAAACCAGCTGCACGTAGCAGACTTCTCACCCCCCTCCCCCTTTCCCTATCCTACCCTGTCGTCCGGCCCGACCATACAAGGGGAAGAGAGAGAGAGAGAGAGACAGGGAGTCCAGGGGGTGTCCATCAAAGGGAGATTGGTCGGCCTCCAGGACGGGTTCCGTCCCCGCCCCAGGGGGCCGCGACAGGGCAACCCGTAAACAAAAACATCTTCGGCGGAGGAGGGAGGAGGAGGACGAAGGAGGGACGGGGGGGGGGCGAAGGAGGGAGGGCATGACTGAGGTGAAAGGAGGAGGAGGAGGAGGAAGAGGAGGAGGAGGAGGAAGAGGAGGAGGATGGGGAAGAGGAGGACGAAAGGGGGAGATGAAGTTACCAAACTGCCAGGCTTGCGAGCGGGCCACCATTGGAGAATTTGCTAATTATGGGGCCACCTCAAGGCCAGATCAAGGCAGGCCCTCACTAGCAGCCCACCAAGAGTTTCGCTTCACAAGCCTTGCACGCACTGTTGGCACGTGCTGATGGCACACGGTGCTGGCACCTGCTGCTGGCACGCGCTGCTGGCACCTGCTGCTGGCATGCGTTGCTGGCACGTGCGGCTGGCACTTGCTGATTGTAAGTGTTGCGATGTGTGTGTGTGTGTGTGTGTGTGTGTGCCGCCCGAAAGCGATGTGTCACGAAGGAGTGAGCTGTGGCACGACTGGTGCCAGGCTGTCTCCATGTTCTCCTAGTTACTTACGGAAGCACCGCCGTACACAGCGTAGCTGGTGGGCCGGCGATGGAAGCAGGGGCAGGGAATCTGAGACACAGGGGGGACGGTGAGGAAAGGAAAAGAGAGCCGGGCCCCAATGGGGCACAGTGGGCGCTGCCCGCCGCTGGCAAGCGCGCGCATTCAAACAAACTCGCGTATGACGTCCTGGTGGGACGGCCCTACCCGGTCTGCGAGGCAGAAGAGACTGAAGACAAGGGAATGCGCTGCGCCGACCTGGTTGGGTGGTCCTGCGCGGGCGCTGCGACGACGAGGGAGGGGCTGGGGACTGGAGACCACGCCCGTGAAATACTCCGAGGCTGGAGAACGGGACAGCAGCGGACGCGTCCCCGCGGAGATGCGGGGGTGACTACAGATGGGGCAGAAAGACAATGATGAAGGCCAAACTAGCCTGAGTAACGGAACCCGGCCTTGCCTTGAGGGGACGCGGCGCTGCTGATGCCAGGACTCCTGCCACATATGTCCCTCCGTTCTTCCAAACCCCTGGGGGGGCACTGGCGCCGCCGTAAATGACTCATCGAGACCGCTGGGGGACAGAGCGAACGAGCGAACGAACGCATGCCGGAGTCGCGCGCGCTCCGCGGGGGAGCCCGCCCGCGCCCCGAAAAGGGCATGGCGTGGCGGCCGCGGCCTCAAGAGGTGCGATGCGCAAGCAGGCTCGCGTGAGAGCCACCGCTCGCTGCTCCCCGGCGCCAGTAACAATCGCAAGCCGCTTGTGAGGTTGGGGAAACCAACAGGTACCGATACGGACCTCTCCTGGGGCGCGTTATGACCAGAATTTCAAGGCGAATCCAACGGTGGCGACGAGGGCCTCCCAGGAGGCCCAAAAAGGGGAAAACGAGGGGAGGGTAGAGGTATGGGTACCTCTTCCTCCTCTGAGGGCTGTTGCTCGTGCCGTCTCGGCATGGCCGCTGCCTGGGAGAGGAACGAAGGGGGAGAGAGGAAGGAGGACGGCGGCGACGACGGCCCCGGCCCCGGCCCCGGCGCCCTCCAAATCTACATCCCGTGGCCTCCCAGGTGCCCAAGATGGCGAACCCAGCTTCGAAACAGCGAGCGACGCCTGGAAGCCGCCCCAGGAGGGCTCCAAGACGCCCCGAGTGGCCCCGATAGCTCCCCAACGCTCAGCAGCACACCCGTGGCGCGCCCTGGCCCTCCCGAGGGGCGAGAGGCTCCACCGCCGATGGCCGCCCCCGCCCCCCCCCCAAACGGCCACCCCACAGGTCCAAGGAAGGTGCCCTGGGTCACACACACACACACACAAAAAAAAAAAAATGCACACAAAAAGAAGGATTCCCCATATCTTCCCATATTTTCTGGGTCTCTGTCTTCCCCCCTCACTGCCCATATTTTCTGGGAATCGACGAATAATTGTGTCTGTGTGTTGTTTCCCCTCCTGATCCAAGAGGCGCCCTCAAAGGCCGAAGAGGGCGCTGAAAATTAGCCACCCAAGGAGGGCCCGAGGCTGCCCGGGCGGGCCTCTGGACGGCTCAAGCGCGAGCATCCCCATGGTGGGCCCAAGCCCCGTTCGAATTTCCATCGGAACCCGGCCTGATCAGGGCCGGCTTTGGCTCCGTTCTGGGGACCTCAATTCGGCCCAGAATTTGTCAAAATGAATACCGAAAACGGCCCCAATCATAGACGAAATGTACGTGTTTGATCATGGCCCAGGCGAGGCCAATTGTCGGCTAGAAGAGGCGTCCAGGCGGCCCCGGGCGAGGCGAAAATCATCAAACACCGACGTGTTTTGCCATGGTTTCGAAGGTCCCAGTTTGCACGCGCTGTTGGGTCCAACAGGCGCTCTGGAGGGCCCCAGGAGCTGGCTGCTGAGACCCAGAAAGAGCCCCGAAAGGGGTGAAATAGAACCAGAATTCGCCCCGAAAGCGTCGGGAAGGGGTGAGGCTAAAGCCCTGCAGCGAGCTCTCACCAACACAATTCACACGCTCTTCAATCCGGTGGGCGGGCGGATACAAGGAGGGCAAAAAACATCGAGTTAGAGTCAGCGATACAATGCCCACAGGATAACGGCGGCAAGCGAGGGGGGCAGGTGCTTGCCACGAGAAGGGCACCCACCGCCCTGTCCGAATAGAGGAAGGGCAGATGCATAATCGAAAACTTTCGGAGGCCCGCGCGGGTTGCAAAAGCTGCTGGCTCACGCTGCTGGCAGGAGCTGCTGGCAAGTGTTCCCGGCAGGTTACTGCTGGTACGTGCTGTTGGGTGCTGCTGGCACTTGCTGGTGTCGGGGAGACGTAAGACTCGGGTACGGGGGACTTGGGTTGGCCTGACGGGGGCCGTCATAAAAGTGGAGAGACCCAGTCTGAAATTTGACGCGGGTTCCCGTTGCAGACACCCCACGAAAACAAGACTGTCAAATCCAGGACGCGCTCGTCAAAACAAAATCGGCAGACCCGAGCCCCGGCTTACTCTTAGGTCGGGCCTGTCGGGACCTTGGACGAGTAATAAAAAATAGTCGAAAGATGCCCCAACAAAGTGTAACAAATAGCCGAAACATCGTCCAACAACTATGTTTTAACTACTTTTGAATATTCCTCCTGTTGACGGACACGCCCGGCTTAGGAGAGAACGCTTTTCACGCGCCTTGGGAACATTCGGTGGCGCGTGTCGAACTGGGGGGTAATCCCCCCCCCCCAACAGTTGGCGCCGTCGATAAAAACCAGGGGGACTCCCCTCCCCCCCAAAACCCTCCCTCCCTCCCGATCCCCCCCCCGCCCCGCCCCCTCCCAAAGGAGAGGGGGGTTCAAACACCCCCCCCTTCGGCGCCGGCGCTGGCGGCCGCCAGCAGCGCCCACGGCGGGGACGCAGCAACGATGACCAGTGGCAGCCCAAGGGCGGGGGGGGCGGGGTGAGGGTGTTCAAACCCCCTCCGCCCCCTGGCGCCGGGTGGGGGGGGTTCAACCCCCCCCGCCCTCGCGCCGGCGCCGGCGCTGGCGGTGGCCAGCAGCGCCGGCGCTGGCGCCGGCGACGGCGGGGACGCAGCGACGATGGCCACCACTACCACCACCACCACTACCACCACCACCACCAACAACAGCACCACACATCCACCACCACCACCACCACAGCCACCACCACCACCACAACCACCACCACAACTCACCATCACCACCACCACCACCACAAAAACCCACCACCACTACCACCACCACCAATCTACCACACCACCACCACCACCGCCACAACCACCACCACTACTAGCAGCACAACCCACCGCCACCACCAGAAACCAACACGCCACCACCACCACCACCGCCACCACCACCACCAGCACAACGTCCACAAACCACCGCCACCACCAACAGCACCACACAACCACCACCACAAACCACCACCACACCACCACCACGCCACCATAACCACCACCACCACCACAACTCACCACCACCGCCACCACACAAACCTAACCACCACCACAATCTACCACACCACCACTTCCACCGCCACAACCACCACCACTGCCAGCAGCACAACCCACCACCACCAGCACCACCACCACCACCACCACTACCACCACCACCACCAGCACCACCACCACACACCACAACACCACCACCGCCACAACCACCACCAGCACCACCTCCACAAACCACCGCCACAACCACAACCCACCACCACCACCAACACCACCATCACCACCACAAACCACCACCACACCACCACCATACCACCACCACCACCACAACCACAACCCACCACCACCACCACCACAAACCACTACCACACCACCACCAAACCACAACCAAACCACCACCACCACCACCACCACCACCCACCGCCACAACCACCACCACCACAACAGACCACCACACCACCACCACAACCACCACCACCGCCAACACCACCACCACCACCACAACCCACCACCACCACCGTCGTTCTCGTCGACGCTCCCCGCCACCGCCGCCCGCCGCCGCAGGCGCCGGCGCCGGCCCAGAAATAGAAATCGTCGTCCCCGCCGCCGCCGCCAGCCGCCGCCGACGCAAGCGCCGGCCCGAGGAGAGGGGGAAGCAGGGGGGGGAGGGGGGGGGTGGGTTTGAACCCCCCCCTCCATCCAGGGGGGGGGTCCGGTTCCAAACTCCCCCCCCCTCCGACTTACGCTTACTCGAGTCTTACGTCTCCCCGGTGGTGGCACGCGTGCTGCTGGCACGTGCTAGCCTGCGAGAGCTGGCACGTGCTGCTGGAGAACGCGCTGCTGGAGAGCGCGCTGCTGGCACGTGCTGCTGGCGCGCGCTGCCATGTGTGTGCCTACCGTCAGTATCGTTTAACCAACCCTCCTCCTCCTCATCTCCTCCTCCTCCTCCTCCTCCTCCTCCTCCTCCTCATCATCATCATCATCATCATCATCACCACCACCACCACCACCACCACGACCACCACCACCACCACCACCATCATCATCATCATCATCATCATCATCATCATCATCATCATCAGCATCATCACCATCCATCACCACCACCCCACCACCACCACCACCACACATCATCATCATCATCATCATCATCATCCATCATCATCATCATCATCATCATCATCATCATCATCATCATCATCATCATCATCATCCCCATCCCCTTGGCGACTCCCACCAAATTACCCCTCCAGCTGGGAATGCACCCCTCGAAACCCGACGGGAACGGTATCCCCATCCAGGGGGGCAAATCGGCCAGTGGGGCCCAGGCCACGCCGCTGGGGATAGGGATCGGATAAACGATACTCGGCGGCGACGATAGGGGCGAATAGCCCAGGGGCGGGCATTACGCGTATTCGCCCGGGAGCCTTTTCGAAGACATAGATCATCGGCGCACCTGAGTACATGTATTGCTCTCCCCTGGGCTATTCGCCCCTATCGTCGCCTCTGAGATACTCAGACGGGGAGCGAGGCGGCACGACTCATGTCAGAACTTTGGCCGTGCTTCTCGGGTCGGACAGGTCAAGGGAGGGAGGGGAGGGCGGAGGGGAGCTCCAGTGCCGGGCGAAGCGAGGCAGCAGGGCGCTCCGCGACCTCAAGATTGCCCAGGCCGGCGACAGGGCGTACAAAGCGGCGCCGCCATTTGGCGGGGGAGGGAGGAGGGAGGGCGAGCGAGGAGGACGAGGCCGCAAAAGAAGAAGGAGCGAGGCTCTCTCGCGCCCAGCGAAAATGAAGATTTAGACTGAAATGTGAGCCGCTTTTGGGCGGGGGGGAGGTCCGAGCGGAACCTATGGCATCTGCTATACTTCTCGCACACAAAAAAAACGCCTGGATCCTCCCAAACGGGTCCCCTAAACCGCCCGAGATCAGCCCGGATGAAACAGGCGGGGCCTGCAGTGGCACCAGTCTTTGGGCGGCGGCCCCTAATCTGGGCCGCAGCGCGGGTCAACCTGCAATGGGCGAGCCCGTGCCGCAAGTACAAAATATCCCCGCAGCCCCAACAGCAAGCTGCACAACATACGGGGCCCAGAGGAGGGCGAGGAGAGACGGAGAGGGCGTGGACGGGGCGGGCGCGGTGCCTATATAAATGACGCTTGATTGCGCTGAATTGGCTTCGATTTGATTGAATCTGTCATTCCGCAGATTGTGCGCAGGAGGAGGCGGAGGGAGGAGGGCGAAGGGAGGAAGGACGAGGAAGGACGGAGGCAGGGGGATGTGGAGGGGGAGGGAGAAGAGATGGAGGACGGAGGAAAGAGGGAAGAGGCGGGAGGGGCGGCGGGAGGAGCCAGGAGGGGGAAGGAGCAGGGAGAAGTGTGGAAGACGGGCGCCAGAAGTGTTGGGACGACAGCTGCGAACTCGAGGAGGAAGCAAGGTCAACCAACACCGAATCGGGAACTCGGAGCAAAACGGCACGTCCGTTGGATCGAATCGCATCGGCACGGTGTCGAAATCGAGCCGGATCGGCCGCACCAAGACTTGCAACAGCGCCGTGCGAGCATCGGGCCGCACCAAATCCTCGGGACATGGGAACCGAACAAGATCGAGCCGACCGGAAACGATGTCGAATCGGAACGACTGGGTCGAAATGGGCACTCGGCTTTCGGGCCATGACTCGGGTCCCTGGCGGCCGTTCAGGACGACTCGGGCAACCCCAGAACACTCTCGACCAAGCGCAGCTGCCGGAGCGCATCCCAAGGCTTGGGTCGGGCATGTCCCCCTACAGGCGGACCTTGGAGGAAAAATTCAAAATAGTCAAACATACACCAAACTAGTAAACAAATGCTCAAACAATCGTGCCCAGACCATGTGTTGACTATTTTTGGAGATTCCTCCTGCAGAGAGACATGCCCAATTTCACCCGAGGCAAGATGGCGATCAACGCCTGCAAGAAGCGCCGCGCAATAGGCGCCACGATCTGCAGGAGGAGAGTGAAGGGGCCCCAGGACACACAAATAAATACACACAAATAAAAGAATGCCCTATAGTTTCCCATATTTTCTAGGTTTCTGTCTCCCCCCCCACTTCCCATATTTTCCTATATTTTCTGGGGAATCGAGGATTAATTGTGTCTGTGTTTTTTCCCCTCCTGAGAGAGGCGGGGCTCACCAGCAAAGGTTCCCGTGCCACGATTGGCACGGCCACCCCAGTCCACGATGATGTGGGGCCTGCGACTGGCCTAAAAATTCGTGGCCCAAACAACACCCTCGCACCAAAATGCTCAATCCGTTCCCGCGAAGTGTCGCCTCTTCTTAGCCAACTCGAACTTGGAGAATAGACCTGAGAGATGGTTGCCATCGCTCGAACGTCCGTTTCCCGTGCATTCGTCGGTTTCGTGCGCTTTTTTTTTTTTGCGAAATGATCCCAACTCGGGGGTACAGCCGGGCTGCCGAAAGAAGGCACGCTCAATCAGGAACAGGGGCCCATCTTTGGCCCCGAGAGGTGCCTGCGCGGAAACGAAGAGCGCCAGAGGAAGCAGCCGTGGGAGGACCTGAGGAGCATCATTCTCGTTCCGAGCCCAAGCTGGTCCTCACTCCAGCGTCTTGGCTGCACACAAGAGAACGTACAGGGGCAAACGCAACCGCCTACGACGGCGGAGGCGGATCGGCTCCACGCAAGGAGTGCCCCTGATCACGAGGGACCTTTGGTGCGCAGCTCCAAGGGCGGCTCGAGGGGCCCCAACCCGAGCGCGCGAGCCGCTGCTATCGCATCTCGTTCCGCCATCGGCGTGCCCTCGTGGGTCCGCGCCACAGTCCCCTCCAAAGAGAGCGGATCCTGGGGCTCGATGCGAATGAACTGGGTCGCCACGGGCTCCCGGAACTGGAACTCCACCTTGTCGTCGTGGTGGGTAGCCGGCCCGGGGACCGCCTGGCACCAGCGAGGGCAGGGAAGGCCACGGAAGCCCCAGTGGGGGACTGCGAGGGCTCACCCCCTCCTCCTCCTCCCCCTCCCCCTCCTCCTCCTCCTCCTCCTCCTCCTCCTCCTCCATCTCCTGCTACTCATCATCATCATCATCATCATCATCATCATCATCATCATCATCATCATCATCATCATCATCATCATCATCATCATCATCATCATCAGCATCAGTATCAGCATCAGCATCAGCACCATCATCATCATCAACAGCATCATCCTCATCCTCATCCTCATCCTCATCCTCATCCTCATCCTCATTATCCTTCTCAGTATCATCATAATCCGAATCATCAGTATCAGTATCAGAATCATCATCATCACCACCACCATCACCATCATCACCTTCAAAATTATCCTTATCCTCCTAGTAATTATAATCCTCCTCCTCCTCATCGCCATCAGCATCATCAACACCATCGTTATCAGGATCAGCATTAGCATCATCCTCCTCCTCACCATCATCATCATCATCATCATCATCATCATCATCATCATCATCTTCAGCATCTTCATCATAATCCTCATCACCGGCGTCATCCTCATCAACACCATCATGATGACACTAATCATCATCATAACCATCATCATCAGCAGCATTGTCATCATCAGCAACATCATCCTCATACTCATCATCATCATCATCATCCACAGCATCATCATCATCATCACCACCATTATCAGCATCACCATCATCATCCTCACCATTTTCATCATCATCATCATCATCATCATCATTATCATCATCACCACCACCATCACCAACACAATCATCGTGGGCATCGTCATGATCATCCTCATCATCGGCGTCATCCTCGTTAACATCATCATGATGATAAGCATCATCATCAACTTCATCATCCGCATCATCACCATCATCACAATCATTTCCGTCAACATCAGCATCATCTTCAGCATCATCCTAATCAGCAACTTCACCATCATCGCCATCATCATCATCCTCATCCTTAACCTCCTCCTCCTACTGATAATCATGATCGCCGTTGTAATCATCATCTTTACCACCATCATCATCACCCAAACCATCTGAATCATCACCAAAAGTATCGTCATCATTGTATTCATCCTCATCATCATCCTCCTGATCATCAGCATCATCATCATCAGCAGCATCATCATCATGCTCATGATGCTCATCATCAGCATCATCACCATCACCATCACCATCCGCCTCCTCCTCCTCATGACCATCGTAATCCTCCAACTCCCCCTCAGCATCGTCATCATCATCGTCATCAGCATCGTCATCATCATCAACATCAGCATCAACATCATCATTATCATCATCGTCATCAGCACTCTCATTTTCGGCGTCATCATCACCACCACCAGAATGATCATCAACATCAACATCATCACCACCATCATCATCATCATCATCCGCAACATCGTCATCATCATCATCATCATCATACTCAGCATCATCAGCATCATCATCATCATCCGGATCATCACAATCGGGTTCGTCTAATCAGCAGCATCACCATCATCACCACCATCCTCATCCTCTTCCTCAACCTCCTCCTCCTCCCCATAATCATCATCGTCATCATCACCACCATCACCATCACCAGCACCGCCACCATCAGAATCGCCACCGAATTCATCGTCATGATCGTCAGCATCCTCATCATCCTCCCCCTCATCATCATCATCGTCAGCATCGCCCTCATCAGCATCATCATCATCATCACCAACATCATCACCAGTATCACCCTCATCATCCTCGTCACCATAATTTTTCCCCCTCATCATCGTCATCATCGCCAGCATCATCATCGTCAGCATCATCAAAATCAGCATCAGCATCATCATCCCCGCCATCATCAGTTATCAGCACCACAATCATCATCACTATCAACATGACCATCATCGTCACCCATCGACATCATCATCCGCATCGTGGGTGTCATCCTCGCCGACGTCATCATGACCACAATCAGCATCATCATCCGCAACATCATCATCAACATCATCATCGTCAGCAGGAGCATCGTCAGCACCATCGTCATCATCATCATGTTCGTCAACATCTGCATCATCTTTAGCATCAATCGAACCAGCATCATCACCATCATCACCAACATCATCATAAACATCGTCGTCATCCGCATCATCATCACCACCATCACCATCACCATTATACTCACCACCAAACATCGTCAGCATCATCGTCAGCATCTTCATCCTCATCCCCAGCCGAATCATCATCCTCAGCCTCATCGCCATCGTCGTCAAACTCCGCATCCTCATCCCCGTCAACATCAGCACCATCGCCATCATCATCAATAGGGTCACCACACTCATCATCATCATCACCATCACCATCACCATCATCGTCGTCGCCATTACCATCACCATCACCATCACCATCACCATTATCATCCTCACCATCGTCATCATCATCATCATCATCACCGAAGGCTCTGCCCCTGCTCCTCCTCGTCCTCCCCACCCTCCATCACGTTCCTTGGTACATGCGCCACCGTACCCTCAGCACGTAGTGGAGTGCCTTAAAGCTCCTGCCGGCCTGGGGGCCCGATAGAGGCTCTGCAACAAACCTTGCAGAAGTGACCTCACCCAAACGGCCCAAGCAAAACCCCGGAAGGCCTCGAGAGGAGCAGCCGAGCTGGCCCGGAAATGCGCCCCGAGAGCGCCCCAGAAAGCCCCAGGAATGCCCACGATACCCCCCGAAAAGCCCCAAGACAGCTCCAGGAAGCGCCCGAGAGGACTCCGAGGAGCCGAAATCGTGGATCATCCGTTCTATCTGGAAAGACTTTAGCGTGACGCCCTTCCGGGCCTGCGACGCTCCAAGAAGGGCCCGAAAGAGGCCTCCAAGACGGCCCAAGACACGGCATCAGAGGGCACCCGACGGCCTAAGAGGGGCCAAAAACGGCCCAAGGGGCCCCCAAAACAGCCCACAAGAAACCCAAGAGGGCCCACCGAGGGGAAACTTGAACTGACACTTGAGCCACGAAAAGAAACGGATCTTACGCGAGATAACGCGGCGACCTGACGCGGTGGCTTAATCAGAACGCCCGCACGGAACGTTACATTGGAAACGAGGGGGCTCGCGCGCGACCTTGCGCGGCCAGCTTACGCGCCAATGTCGCTCACGTGGCGCTCACGAGGGGGGCGAGGAGGAGGAGGAGGAGGAGGAGGAGGAGGAGGAGGAGGAGGAGGAGGAGGAGGAGGAGGAGGAGGAGGGGGGGAGGAGGAAGAGGAGCGCGGCGCCTCGCGCGAGTCTCCCGCGCGGCCGCGGGGGTGCGGCGGGCACGAGGCGCCAGTCCCTTCTCGACTCGCCAGATCGCATCTTGCTGGTTGCGGCGCGTGGACTCGTTGGGCGAGAGCCCTTCGCACCTCAAGCCAAGCTTTCTCACTGTGCGGAGGAGGAGGAGGAGGAGGAGGAGGAGGAGGAGGAGGAGGGAGGAGGAGGGAGGAGGAGGAGGAGGAGGAGGAGGAGGAGGAGGAGGAGGAGGAGGAGGAGGAGGGAGGAGGAGGAGGAGGAGGGAGGAGGAAGGAGGAGGAGGCAGACGGCCCCGTTTTCTTCCGTCGCTCCTGTGGCGCCCTCCGCCTCCCACGGCACTGCCCACCCCCGAGGGCGCCGGCAGGCCCCCCAAAGTGGGCCCCACGGAAGCTCCAGGAGCCCTTCTCCTTGGCCTCTTTCCCCCCGCCACTTGCCGTCGCTCGGACGTCCATCTCCCCTGCATTCTTCGGTTTCGTGCGCGTTTTGTTGGCTCGATGGTCCAGGATGGTCCTCGGTGGTTCTCGCCGAGAACAAATACATGTACACGTCCGAGCGATGCCAAGGACATGGGGGGGGGTTCTTGCTGACACGGGCGCCTTCGCACAGCATTGCCCCTCTGGGACGAGCCTTCCTCCCCTCTTACGGGTCACCGTCGGGCCAGCCTTGCGCTCTTCCCGCCAACTCTCTGGCCCACGACGGACCCAGACCTGCAACGGCCCACGAGCGCCCAGGACGGGCCCAGCCGCCGTCAACACGGCCCAAGACACCCCCAAGAAGATTGGGATCCACAAGCGCGCCCAAGAAAGCCCCAATAGGCCACAGAAACGTGATGTCTGTTCACTAGTTTCGTGTTCACCCCACTTCGGCCTTCAGACCGCCCAAGACGATGCAAACAACCTACAAGATCGCGCCAAGACGGCCAACGAGGCCCCCAAGACCGCCCAAGCCGGTTCACGACGCCCCCAAGATCGTGCCGAAAGCCCCAAAACGGACCGAGAGGCCGCCTTAAAACGGCCTGGGAGCGCCCCTCGGGAGGCCCCAGACGGCCCCAAGACGGCCCCTAAGAGACCCCCCCGGACGGCCGCGAGGACCCCTATGACGACTCAAGAGAACCCCGATATGGTCTGAGACGGCCCAAGAAGCCTCCAAGATGGCAACAAGACGGACCAAGAAGGCGTCAAGATAGCCGAAGAGGCCACGGCCTCAAGAGGGCCCCGTACTTGCCCCAGCAACCTCCACCATTACTCCCCTCGCGCGCCTCCGTCCACCTCTTCCATCATGGGTGACATCTTCAAAGGTCGGTGGAACCGACCGCAAGGCCTTCCCAATCAGACATTTCTGATAACTTGCTGGGTTGGAAGATGTGGTGAAACATGTGTATATACACAGTGTTTAGACCGCCGCTTGCAGTCGAGTCGTGGACAAACATTACATAGAATAGTGGATATGTGCCTGGCCCCGAAAACCTTCCCCTAACAAGAAACATAAGTCGGGCGTGTCCCCCTACAAGGGGATTTTGAACAAAAAATTCGCCGGCCCAACGGGCCAGAGGCGTGCTAAGATCTCCGGTAACTGGTTCACAATATTTCTAATTCGCGCGCGCGGGGGGGCCCCTGGGGGTCCCGTACCCCGGCAAGGTCCCGGGAGAAGCACCCATAGCGCTCCAGGAGCGCACCAACAGGGCCCCGAGACGTCCCCGAGAGTCCCAAGTAAGGCCAAGAGAGAGTCCCAAGAAGAGCCAAGAGCGCCCAAGAGGCCCCCAAGATGGTACACCAAGGGTCCGAGATGCCACAAGATCGCTCCAAGACGCTCAAGATAGCCCCCAGACGCCCCACGAGGCTTTCAAGAGCACTCCCAAGAGGGCCCCAAGAGGCAAAATTCATTGCTTTTCCTTCGGTTTTGGGGAGATTTGGGCGTTTCCACCTTTTCGGCATCGCGACGCCCCAAGACGGCCCAAGAGGTCCCCAAGATCGCCCCAAGAAGGCCCAGGAGGCCCCCAAGAGGGCCCCAAGACGGCCCAAGAGGGCGCCAAGACGGCCCAAGAGGCCTCCAAGACGGCCCCTAGAACGCCCCAAGAGCGGCCCCAGAGGGGGAGCACGAACCAACAGTTCGAGCCCTCGGTCCTGAGAGGCCTCCAGGAAGCCCCAAGAGGCCCCTAACAGGCCCCAAGAGGCTCCCAACAGCCCTCAGGAGGCCCCCAAGACGCCCTCAAGAGGCTCCCAAATGGCTTCAAGAGGCCCCCACGGGCCGGCGGAATAAGCGAAGCGGCTCAATAAAAATACAAAAATGCTCGACAATACTCAAAAATAGGTTTGAAAAATGTCCCCAGGCTATTTTTTACTATGTTTGCATATTCCTCCTGTAGAGGGACACGCCCGACTCAACGAAACCCAGAACACCCAGGGAACCTCGATCCTCGGCGAGGAGGGGCCCTGCCAAGACGCCCCGCCAAGAAGGGCCGAACTCCTCCTCCTCCTCCTCCTCCTCCTCCTCCTCTTCCTCCTCCTATTCCTCTTCCTCCTCCTCTCCCTCCTCCCTCCTGCCTCCCTCCCCCCTCCTCTCCCTCCTCTCCCTCCTCCCTCCTCCCTCCTCCCTCCTCTCTCCTCTCTCCTCCAACCTCCCTGACGGCACGAGGGGGAAACAACTCCTGAGGAAGACGGGCCCTGTCGGGGACGGCCGACCCAACGGCGTGGTGAAAGCATCGAGACCCTCCATTGGCCGAAGGGTGTGGACGGTCGGCTTCACGTGGCTCACAGATGAGCGTTTTCTGATTCGGCGTTTCGACATTGGGCGGCGAGCGGGTGGGGTCTGGCTCTGGCCCTCTGCTTAGCGCGACTGCTTGCGACAGTGCGTCCTATGAGGGGAGACTCCACCTGCTCGAAGCAGGCGCCAAAAACAGCCAAGATCTACTCAATGGGGTGGGGGGGGAGGGGGGGGTGCGAGGGCCCGCGCCGATCGGCAAAACAATGAATACAAAAACGATCACCAGACCCGGGTCAACCAGAGGGGACGGGCTGATCCGCAGAAGTAGTACGATTGTTGAGTCCAGGCATTCCCCTGGGACTGGCTTTTCGTCCTGAGTCGTTATTTGACGGTCCCACGGCGACCCGAAGGGTCCCCTGAGGCCGACAACGGGGAAGAACCGGACGGCCATTTTCCCTGAGGAACCCCACTTCTTTTAGGTCGGGCATGTCCTCCCACAGGCGGATTTGGGGCGACAAATCCTAAATAGCAAAAACATATACAAACATGAACAAAACAATAAAAAATCGTTCCCAGACTTTTTGTTGACTATTTTTGCATATTCCCTCTGTACAGGGGACATGCCCGACTTAAACTTCTTCATGTCGACCCTGAGCAGTCAACCCTCAGGCTCTCCTGGGACGCGCTGCGACCAGAATCTGGAGGGGAATCCAGCTATGGCGACGAGGGAGCCTCCTAGAGGCCCAGACCAGAAGAAAAACTGGAGCCAACCTCACACACCTGGCAAACCTGAGGCCACGGCTGGACTGCACTGGTGCAATCGCGAGGGCTTCAGACGCGCTGCGCGTAAGGTCATACACCTTGGCATACGCCATTCGCGGCAGGGGAGGGGAGAGACTCGGACGCCCACAAGTGTTGTACAAAACCGACAGCGGTCGTTGTTGGGCAGTCGGCCTTCTGTCTTACACGGACACCGCCCGCGGCGGCGCGGACAGCGAGTCCTGCTCAAGATGAAGAGAAACTGCTGCTGGGCATCGTATACATTCTCTCCGACCCCATTTCGATCGTGCCGAAGAGGAGGGGAGGAGGAGGAAGCAGGAGGAGGAAGAAGCTAGGGCTCCCAACTTCGCGCTTCGCGCTGCGCGAAGCGCGAATAACTTCGCGCTCTCGCGCCGCCCTCCCAAAGGGAGAATAGGAGGACGAGGAGGAGGGGGAGGAGAAACGAGGACCGCGAAGCGCGAAGCGCGAATAACTTCGCGCCCTCGGGGGAGCCCTTGTCGATCGTGCCGAAGAGGAGGGGAGGAGGAGGAAGCAGGAGGAGGAAGAAGAGTCAGGAGAGAAGCCATCAGAAACCTGGAGCACCTGCAGCCTGGGGTCGCCCCCAGAGGCCGACGCACCCTTCCTCCTCGCGCCGAGCCTACCTGCACGCGCCGCCCGTGCAGGAAGCGAGGCGGGGGCGGCCGAGGGGCGATCATCGATCGGCAGCTCAAAAAACGGGTTCCTGACGGGGCCCTGGGGACGGGAGGACCCCAAGGCTGAACCTTCACTCGTCCTCCGGGCCCCGCCTCAGGGCCACAACTCCTGCGATGAGCGACTGGGTGGTCAGTGTGATGGTGGTTGCTGCTGTCTGTTTGCGCGATTTGGGGCTACCTCAACAGGCCTACCCACCGTGTCGTAATCTCCATAGTGGTGGGCCAATTACGCAGGCGGTCCACGCAGAAGCCCCGCCCAACTAACCACCAGCTGGGGTCACGAAGTGGTGGCCCGGAACCGTGGGCTCACACAGTCACTTCCATGAGCCAAACTGTTTGCACACAGTCTCAACCACCAACGCCCTAACCACCATGCGGAAGCTCTAAGTCTTCGAACCGCCGGGAGGACGGCGTGCGGTCGCGGAGACGCCAGCGGAGGCCCGGCGGGGCCTGCACGAGTGGCACCTCCTGCCACCCCTCCACGCCGCCGTAAGACGCGTACACCTTTCGGGGGCCCAGACGTCCAACGCCTTGGAGAAGCAAGGCTTAAATCGGGCGTGTCCCCTTATAGGGGGATTTTCAATGAAAAGTGCGAAAAACTAAAAAAATACTTCAAAACGGTAAAAAAATACCTCCCAAATAGTCCCCTGACTATTTTTCCCAACCATCCTGTGGTGTTGGGTCCTCGTTTTGAAGAGACGTCGCCCCGCGTTCCTTCCTCCTCCTCTTTCCTCCTCCTCCCTCCTCCCCCTCCCACACCCATTCTGGCACACCCCTCACACGTTTCGTGGCCCCATCGGGAGCTCCACCGAAGGCCCCAGTGGCTGCGCCCGCATGCGGTTCCACCCCCCAGTCTGGCACACCCCTCGCACGTTTCGTGGCCCCATAGGGAGCTCCACCGAAGGCCCCAGTGGCTGCGCCCGCATGCGGTTCCACCCACACCTGGCACACCCCTCACACGTTTCGTGGCCCCATAGGGAGCTCCACCGAAGGCCCCAGTGGCTGCGCCCGCATGCGGTTCCACCCCCCATTCTGGCACACCCCTCACACGTTTCGTGGCCCCATAGGGAGCTCCACCGAAGGCCCCAGTGGCTGCGCCCGCATGCGGTTCCACCCCCCATTCTGGCACACCCCTCACACGTTTCGTGGCCCCATAGGGAGCTCCACCGAAGGCCCCAGTGGCTGCGCCCGCATGCGGTTCCACCCCCCATTCTGGCACACCCCTCACACGTTTCGTGGCCCCATAGGGAGCTCCACCGAAGGCCCCAGTGGCTGCGCCCGCATGCGGTTCCACCCCCCATTCTGGCACACCCCTCACACGCTTCGTGGCCCCATAGGGAGCTCCACCGAAGGCCCCAGTGGCTGCGCCCGCATGCGGTTCCACCCCCCATTCTGGCACACCCCTCACACGTTTCGTGGCCCCATAGGGAGCTCCACCGAAGGCCCCAGTGGCTGCGCCCGCATGCGGTTCCACCCCCCATTCTGGCACACCCCTCACACGTTTCGTGGCCCCATAGGGAGCTCCACCGAAGGCCCCAGTGGCTGCGCCCGCATGCGCCCGCATGCGGTTCCACCCCCACCCCCATGGCACACCCCTCACACGTTTCGTGGCCCCATAGGGAGCTCCACCGAAGGCCCAGTGGCTGCGCCGCATGCGTTCCACCCCCCATTCTGGCACACCCCTCACACGTTTCGTGGCCCCATAGGGAGCTCCACCGAACGCCCCAGTGGCTGCGCCCGCATGCGGTTCCACCCCCAATTCTGGCACACCCCTCACACGTTTCGTGGCCCCATAGGGAGCTCCACCGAAGGCCCCAGTGGCTGCGCCCGCATGCGGTTCCACCCCCCATTTTGGCACACCCCTCACACGTTTCGTGGCCCCATAGGGAGCTCCACCGAAGGCCCCAGTGGCTGCGCCGCATGCGGTTCCACCCCCATTCGGCACACCCCTCACACGTTTCGTGGCCCCATAGGGAGCTCCACCGAAGGCCCCAGTGGCTGCGCCCGCATGCGGTTCCACCCCCCATTTCTGGCACACCCCTCACACGCTTCGTGGGTGGCTCCATGGGGAGCTCCACCGAACGCCCCACGGCTGCGCTCGCATGTGGTTCCCCCCCTCATTTCGGCACACCCCTCACACGGTTCGTGGCCCCATAGAGAGTTCCACCGAAGGCCCCAGTGGCTGCGCTCGCATGCGGTTCCACCCCCTTTTTTCGGCACGCCCTTCACACGTCTCGTGGCCCCATAGGGAGCTCCACCGAACGCCCCAGTGGCTGCGCTCGCATGGGGAAGCATGGTTTTTCGAAATTGTCTTGAAGTCGCTGGTTCCCTCGACGCGCTGTTTGCATACTTTCACCCCTCAGGTGGGGCGGCAGCATCGTGGGAGTCGGCAGTGAGATCTTGGTGCCCGAACACAGGGTAGCACCGCAATTTGACATCGCGGTGCCATGTTTCACCTTGCTCGCGCGCCGTCTGGCGCTAGGCTTCTCGCTCGCTCGCTCGCTCGCTTCACACGCTTCGTGGCTCCATAGGGAGCTCCACCGAAGGCCCCAGTGGCTGCGCTGGCATGCGGTTCCACACCCCATTCTGGCACACCCCTCGCACGTTTCGTGGCCCCATAGGGGGCTCCACCAAAGGTCCCAGTGGCACTGCCCGCTTGCGTCCGCCACCACCCAGCACAGCCCTTGTTCCCTGCGCTTCACCCACCCAGAACAGCGCTTCGTAGCCCTATAGGGAGCTCCACCAAAGGTCCCAGCGGCACCGCCCGCATGCGTCCGCCACCACCCTGCACAGCCCTTGCTCCCTGCCTGCGTTTCACCCACCCAGTACAGCGTTTCGTGGCCCCATAGGGAGCTCCACCGAAGGTCCCAGTGGCACCGCCCGCATGCGTCCGCCACCACCCAGCACAATTGCGGCATTCACAACTGCATATGGTTTGGTCCTTCGCCAGGCTAATTTAAAACTATGTTTTGAATATTCCTCCTGCAGAGGGACAGGCCCGACTTAAGCCCAGACGTCCAACGCCTTGGAGAAGCAGGGCGGAGGGCTGTCTCGCCGTCCTCTCGGGGGCGTCCAAGAGAGGGGGGGGCGTTCACGAAGGGGGGAGGAGGGGGGGGGTGGGGGAAATCGTTGCCCGAGGCACGCGCGCGGACGAGGAGGGGACAAAAAAAGAGTCCTCCAGCGAAGAGACAGCCTGGCCATCGCTCGGACGTCCATTCCCTGTGCTTTTTTCGGTTTCGTGCGTGGTGTTTTCGCGATGGTCCTCGGTGGTCCCCGATCAAAGATGCTCCTCGATGGTCCTCGCCGAAGGAAAGAATGCACACGTCCGAGCAATGCCAAGCAACAGCATTGAAACACGCTTGGCAAGCCAACATGTCTTGCTTCCAGAAGCGCTTTTCGGACTCATACTGCCTCCGGAAAGCGTCACAGGAGCCCTCAGAAGCCCCCAAGACAGGCTCAAGAAGGCCCCAAGGCTGTCAGAGACAGCGCCGCAAGATAAGAAGAAGAAGAATAATAAGAAAAAGAAGAAGAATAATAATAATAATAATAACAGAAGCAGCATAATCGAAAATGTTCGCAGCTCCGCGCGGCGTTCTTGGCTCTGTGCTGGGCCCCTCCTCCTCCTCCTCCTCCTCCTCCTCCTCCTCCTCCTCCTCCTCCTCCTCCTCCTCCTCCTCCCCCTCCTCCTCCTCCTCCTCCTCCTCCTCCTCCTCCTCCTCCCCCTCCTCCCCCCTCTCCTCCTCCCCCTCCTCCATCCTCCCCTCCTCCTCCTCCTCCTCCTCCTCCTCCTCCCTCCTCTCCTCCCCCCCTTCCTCCTCCTCCTACCTCCTCCTCCTCCTCCTCTCCTCTCCTCCTCCTCCTCCTCCTCATCCTCCTCCTCCTCCTCCTACTCCTCCTCCTCCTCCTCCTCCTCCTCCTCTCCTCCTCCTCCTCCTCCTCCTCCTCCTCCTCCTCATCCTCCTCCTCCTCCTCCTCCTCTCCCCCTCTCCTCCTCCTCCTCCTCTCCATCCTCCTCCTCCTCCTCCTCCTCCTCCCCCTCCTTCCCCCTCCTCCTCCTCCTCCTCCTCCTCCTCCCTCTCCTCCTCCTCCTCCTCCTCCCTCCTCCTCTCCGCCTCCTCCTCCTCCTCCTCCTCCTCCTCCTCCTCCTCCTCCTCCTCCTCCTCGAGCGTGGGAGAGCGGAGGCTCCGCCAGGGAGGGCCCAGCCCCGATCCGAGCGATCCGCGCGGAGATCTGGAAGTTTCTGTGTCAGAGCGAGGGGGCCGAACGGTCACTCATTGTCCCTGGGTGCGTGGCTCTAGTGGGGATCCGTGGGGAGGATTCTGCCTGTTGTTGTTGTTGTTGTTGGTGTTGAATATTATTACTTCTAAAGAATAATTATTGTTGGGCCCCCTGGTGCACGCCCCCCCCGCCGCGCCTAGGCCGCAGCCACGTTTTCATCATTTTCGTGAGGAAGCCTCAGGTAAAACGATGTCATCCAGATCCGGTTGTTTTGTTGACGCCCGTTTTCCCTTGCAAAAAACACTATAAAATGACATTTCTTGTTCTAATATAATCAAATTTCAAGAATCCCTTGCAAAAAATAAGGTAAAGTGGACATTCGCGCGCGCAAGACGAAATCCTTCCAAAACCTTAGTGTTCGTAGCGATTTTAACATAAAAACATCAAAAAACCAATGGTTTTTCAAAAAAAAATTGTCAAAATTTCATCCCGCGCGCTCTTGCGGATTCGTAGGAAACCCAACACTTTTTAAACATTTCTGTCAAACGGGCTTTTGCGAGCAACTTTTTCGAACTTCTGCAACAACGGTTGCGCACCTGCCAGGGCCATCATCCCTGTCAAATAATACCATGCGGGACACATTCGTTTTTTCTTCGCGCGCGCACGCCGTCGTCGTCGGCCGCGGGGCCCTGAATAGTAGCCACGGTCGTCCGCATGCCACGAAGTGAAGTGTCCGAACGTCATAGGGCGGGAAGCTGGGTGTGGGTAGTGGCGAAGAGTCGTTTGGAAATTTGGTAGAGCTTGAACCGGCCCCCCCACAAAGTGGGGGTATTGCCCGCCTGCTATGAAAACCCTGGCACTGGTGAGAACGGAGTGTCCCCACGTGCTAGTAATTGTTGTTGTTGTTGTTGTTGTTAATGTTGTTGTTAATGTTGTTGTTAATGCTGTTGTTAATGCTGTTGTTAATGTTGTTGTTAATGTTGTTGTTGGTCGTTGTTGTCGTCGTCGCCCCTGCGACCCACCCCGCGACCCAGCCGCGACCCAGCCCGCGACCCACCCCGCGACCCAGCCCGCGACCCAGCCCGCGACCCAGCCCGCGACCCAGCCCGCGACCCAGCCCGCGACCCACACCGTGACCCGCCCGCGACCCACACCGTGACCCGCCCGCGACCCACCCCCGCTCCACCCTGCGACCCCCCCCCGCGACCCCCCCGCGACCCCCCCCGTGACCCGCCCGCGACCCACCCGCGACCCCCCCTGCGACCCCCCCCGCGACACCTTCCTGGGGCCACTCGCTCCACTCGTGCGTCGAAGCTGCGTCGAACGTCCGTCGACTCGCGCCGAACCCGAGTCGAACCTGAGTCGAAGTCGAGTCGAACTCGAAGCGAACTGGAGTCGAACGGATACGTCAGGTGGGCCCCAGGAAGGACCCCCAAACGAGCACCGAACCGGGAAGACCCCAGGACGGCCAGGAAGCCCGCCACGGCGCTCCCCGCGAGGCCCCCCGAGACGAGCCCCCGCGAGGGCGGGCCCGATGTCGCCGCCGGGGACGGGCGCCCACCAGGCCCCAACCCTGACCTTCCAGAGAGCTATTGTTTAGCACTGGAGGCCTAAAAACCTCAAAAACTGGGCGAAACAGCCTAAAACCAAGGCGTAGAATAGCTCTAGGATAGGTGTTTAGGTCGGGTGCTATTTTTTAGCCCTGCTGGAAGGTCAGGGAACCTGGCCCCCACGAGGACCCGAAGCACATGAGATAAGACAAAACGATACACGATGCTAGAACATTGACTACCCACCAAGCCACCCCAGCCAAACCCGAAGACCCAACTTTCCGGGTTGGGGGGGTACGAGTTCCACACGTGCTTTGCTCAATGTTCCCAGACGCCCCACCCTCGCTGGAAGTGGAGGGCAAAGTGGGGCATTCGGGTTGGGTTGGGGTGGTTCGGTGGGTGGTGAAACATAGGGTCATACTATAGAACATGAGAGAAGGCAAGATCAGATTCACCACCGTGCCTCTGGGCACGGAGTGGGCGTGTCCTCAGGTCATTTTCCCAATCCCATGAGCCTCAGTCCTCACTCCTAAGGAGTCTTTGAGGTGACCGGAGCCCGAATCCACAAATCTCCCGGGGCTTCCGGTGGCCTGTCGTGGGTTCCCAGCGCCTTCTCGCATGATTTGTTCGGGCCCCGAAGGGCCCTGAGACGGGCCAAGAGGGCTCCGAGACGCCGCCAAGACGGTCCAAGAGGACCCCGAGTCGCCAAACGATCGCCCCCGAAAGACCAAGATGGCCAAAGAGGCCGCCAAGACGCTCAAAGAGGTCTCCAAGAAGCCTCCCCAGAGGGCCCCAAGAGGCCACAATCATTGATTTTCCTTGGCCCCTAATTAAGACGGCCCTGGAGCACCCCAAGAGGGCCCCAAATCGGGCCAGAAAAGCCTCCCAAACGGCTTCCGACGGCGTCAGACGGGCCAGGAGCCCACCAAGATGGCCGAAGTTGGCTCGCAGCTGGCCCAAGACGGCCCAAGAGGCCTCCAAGAGGACCTCCAGGAAGGCCCGAAAAGGCAACAAAACACGGATTTGCCCGAGGTCTTCGAAGGATTTTGACATTTGCTTCGTGTCGGCGTTCCGACGGCCCGATACGGCCCACGAGCCCCAAAAGATCGCCCAAGGATCGCCCAAGGGGCCTCAAGATGGCCCCAGAACGGCCCAAGAGGCCCCCAAGACGGCCCCAAGAGGCCCCCAAGACGGCCCAGGAGGCTTTTAAGACGCCCAAGATGGACTCCAAGACGGCCCTGGAGCATTCCAAGAGGGCCCCAAGTCGGCTCAGAAAGGCCTCCAAGAGGGCCTCCAGGAAGGCCCGAAAAAGTCCAAATCATTGATTTCCATCCGGTTTTGAAGGATTGTGGCATTTGCGTTGTTTCGGCCTTCCGACGGCCCGAGACGGCCCAAGTGCCCCCAAAGATCGCCCAAGAGGCCCAAGACGGCCCCAAGAGGCCCCCAAGACGGCCGAAGAGGCCTCCAAGACGCTCAAAATGGCCTCCAAGACGGCCCAAGAGCCCAACAAGACGTCCTCCAAGAAGGCCGAAAGGGTCAAATGGCCTCCAGGCGGCCAAAATGACCTTCAAGATGCCCACGTGTTCCCCGAAGGCTTTCCAAACCGATTCGGGGAACACATGGTCCGATAGATTGGCAGGTCTGGCCTCAACGTTCGGCCGCATAGGCGCTTTTATAAGATAGGGGGCGGCGGTGATTCGCCGTCGGCATCTTCGATAAAACAGCGGCCGACAGCCAGGTCGTGGGGCACGTCTAGCCCTCACCTGCCTCGTGGTCCGAGGCGCCCGAGGCCGACTCGAATGCCTCTTCTGCTTCCGGGAGAAGACGCTTCCCAAGGGCGCCAACCGAGAGAAGATCAGCCTCGGCCAAAACAGGAGCGCCCAGCGCCAAGACCCTGGGACCGAGGGGACGCAGGGTACACCAGCCAGAGCACCCGACGCCGAGAACCCGAGACGCCCTCGGTGAGGCCACCACAGAGGTGGAGCGAGGACGGAGGAGGATTCGCCACCGTGTCCAGTGCACGCCGAGGCGTGGAATAATACCACGGTCTGTCTGGTAGGGTTCCTGTATTCTGATGAGCCCCCCCCCCCCCGACTCGCGCCTCCGTGCATGCACTGCCCCCCTCCCGAGGCCAAGCTCCCTAGAGAAAAAAACTATGGATCCGCGTTCCTGACGCTACCATCCCCCGTGCAAAAACTGTGCCAAGACGGTCCAAGCAAGCAATCAAGGACCCGTGGGATCCAGGAAGGCCTTCGAGGACAATGCGCGACTGCCCAAGCCGGCTCCACGACGGCCCTCAGACACCCGCCATACGGCCCAAACAACACCCAGAACAGTCCAAGAGAGCCCCAAGACGGCGCAAGAATGCCCCAAAACAACCCAAGAGGGCCCCAAGAGACCCCCAAGAATGCCTCACAGGAGACCGCACCAGCCCCAAGATGGTCCAAGACGCCTCCACGATGGCCCAAGACGGCCCGATAGGCCCCCAAGAGGGTCCCCAGATGGCCCAAGACGTCCCACGATGGCCCAGGAGGCATCCAAGACAGCCCAAGAGGCACCCAAGGGGACCCCAAGATGACCCAAGACGCATCCCAACCTGCGGCCCAAGATGGCCTCCCGTGGGATCCCAGATGGTCTTCGAAGGTAATGCGCGACGGCCCAAAGCGGTCCACGACGGCCCCCAGACACTCACCATACGGCAAACAGGGCCCCAACACAGCCCAAGAGAGCCGCCCAAAGACGACGTAAGAGTGACGCACGACGGCCCAAGAGGGCCCCAGAACTGCCAAACAGGGGGCCAAGCCATCCCCAAGACGGACCACACGAGTTCCATGCAAGCTCCTGACAGAATGAAGGAGGAACGGTGCCACGTGTGACGGTCGTCCTCGTCCTTCTTCTCATCGTCCTCATGCTCCTCCTCTTCTTCATCCTCATCCACACCACCAACACCACCATCACCATCACCATCACCATCATCAGCATCATCACCACCACCAGCATCATTAGCATTATCATATGCATCATCATCAACAGCAGCATCAATAGCAACATCAACAGCATCATCACCATCATCAGCCGCAGCATCATCAGCATCATCAGCATCAACATCATCCTTATCATCCGCATCATCATCAACATCGTCAACGTTTTCCAGATCATCAACATCAACATGACTATCACATGTATCAGCTTCGTCCATCTCAGTAGCATCCTCATCATCCTTATCGTCATCATAAGTAACATCATGAGTATCATCGTGGTCATCCTCATTCTCGCCATCGGCATTGCCATCGCCTTTAACATCACAACTACCATCAGGAACATCGCCATTCAACACAAAGTCATTGTACACACCGCCACCAGCATCGTCAGCACCACCATAATCATCTGACCACATGTATCGCCACCACCAACAGCACCGCCATCATCACCATCAGCACATTTTCATCATCGCCATCATCAGCAGCACCACCATCAGCAGTATCATCAGCAGCATCAGCATCAGCATCAGCATCGGCATCACTATCAGTATCAGCACCACCATCAGCAGCATCATCATCATTATCATCAGCATCATCATTATCATCCTCAACAGCACCAGCATCAACATCAACAACATTTCCATTGTCATCATCATAATCTCCATCATCATCAACAACCTATTCCATAGAATCCACTGCAACATCAACATCATGGCTCTCCCGACCCGGGAGACAGACACCAAGTGTCACGTGACGGCCTCCCGTAGCCCCTCGAACAGTTGCCACCCAGAATGTTGGGCTGGCACGGCGGCGGGACCTGCTGCAGGCAACTGGATAGAACAAGAACTGTCGGAGCTGCGTTGATTCATGACCCTCTTCTCCTGCTTCCTCTTTCTCCTCCTCCTTCTCCTCCTCCTCCTCCTCCATTCTTCGAAAACGAAACAGCAACACAAACATCGACTTTCGAACGTCCGCGCAGATTTCTGGGGTCGGTGCTGGGCCCACTTGGCTGGAGCACGGAGCGCTCTATGAAGTCCATCTCTCACAATGAACGTGCTACGTATTCATGATTATCTGCTCGGTCAGGTGTTCCAGTCCTGGCTTAGTGACCTCGTTGCCAGCCGCCCGAGGAGGAGGAGGAGGAGGAGGAGGAGGAGGAGGAGGAGGAGGAAGAGGAAGAGGCAGCAGGAGAAGGGGGTCATGAATCAGCGCAGCTGCGGACTGGGAGGATGCCTCGGTCCCGCTACTGCTCGGACAGGGCAACGACCTGGATCGGGTCCTGAGCCTGGCCTCCCCCCACCCCCCCTCCGCTGCGCCGCTGCACCGCTGCGCGGCCCCGCTGGCACGGTGGGGGGGGGGCTCCCACGGGCGGCGGGAGACTCCGCCGTTCCTGCCCCCTCCGGACCTTGAGCCTCGTCACCCACTCGTCCCTCTTCGGGTGCCCCTGGACGACGACGCCGCACGCGCCCTTCACGCTGCCCAAGTTGATCTGCAACCACTCCCTTGCCTTCGAGCTGTCCGGGGTCCACGCCCCCCTGCTCTGGCCGAGAGCGGAGTATACGCTGCCTCTGGCGCAGGGGCTGCTGTACGACCGCATGTTCTCCCAGGGGTTTATGACAGCAAGCCTCCCACCGTCGGCCGCCTGGTGGTACTCCAGCCCGGACCTCGACGCCGTCGCATGAGTGCCCGCGATGCTCTCCGCACTGTGCTTCTCCGACGGTGTCCATGCCATGCCCGGCAGCTTGATCCCCGAGCCTTTCCCTCCGGCTTTGAAGGCGCTGTTGCTCTCCACGAAATGCTCGGGCTCCTTCGCGGCGTCCACGGCACCAGCGCCGGTGACCTCACAGACGTAGGCGAAAGTGCCAGACATCACGAGAAAGAGGTTGAAGGCATGGTCGTGCAGCTCGTATACCAGCTCCCCAGCCTTGTACGGCCGCTGGCAGAGCACAGTCGACATGAGCAGCGGGAAGCGCGGCGGCATGATGCCTCGGCGGCGTGCGCAAGTGGGGGGGGTGGCGCGGCGGGGGGCGGCCTTCTGAGAAGACGTACGATGGAAACCCATGCCAAGAAACACCCTGCTTGCCTCCAGGGTGTCAGGAGTGTCTTGGGTTTCGATGGTTCTGCTATGGAATACGTGGCGTTCCCATACCAGAAAACAATGCACATCCTGGGGCCTCAGGGTTGAGTTTCTTGTGGAAGGTTTCATGAGGTCGAGCTCCTACTGCAGGAGATCCGATAATAAAACAGCCTTGTTAAGAGGGCCTGGGAGGCTTCTCAGAAGCCCCCCGCCTTCTCAGGAGCTCCCTCGCCTTCGCAGAAGACCGACCCCCTCGCGCCGCCCGCTTGTGCGCGCCGCCAAATTGCCCCCCGTGCAGCTGATGGCGCAGGTGGTCATGAACTTGTTCCTGGCCAGCTGCCCGTCGAACAGCCGATCGGGGAGATCCCCGATCAGCGAGCGCGGCATCACACCGCTTGTGAGGAGCCTGCGCATGTCCTCTGGATCGAACGTTTTTTTTCTCATCCATTATGTGGTGTTGGGTCCTCGTTTTGAAGCGAAAGCGCCCCGCGTTCCTCACTCCTTCCTCCTCCCCCTCCTCCCTCCTCCCATCATCATCATCATCATCATCATCATCATCATCATCATCATCATCATCATCATCATCATCATCACCATCATCATCATCTTCACCATCATCAGCAGTAGCAGCAGCATCACCACCACCACTATCATCATCATCATCATCATCACCATCATCATCCTCATCACCAGCAACAACAGCACAATCATCATCACCATCGTCATAATCAGACGATTCATCAACATTATCATCATCAGCAGCCTCATCATCGTAATAAGCATCATCATCAGCATCATCAGCAGCATCAACATGAACATCATCAGCATGATCATCATCAGCATCAACATCAGCATCATCACAATCATCACCATCATCATCATCACCATCATCGTCATCATCATCATCGTCATCGTCATCATCATCATCGTCATCGTCATCGCCATCATCAATGGGGGTGCCCGCATGCGTCCGCCACAATCAGTAAGGCGTTTCGTGGCCCCATACGGGGCTCCACCGAAGGCCCCAGTGGGGGTGCAAGCATGCGTCTGCTACACCCAGTGCAGCGCTTCGTGGCCCCATAGGGAGCTCCACCGAAGGCCCCAGTGGGGGTGCAAGCATGCGGCCGCCACACCCAATACAGCGCTTCGTGGCCCCATAGGGAGCTCCACCGAAGGCCCTAGTGGGGGTGGCCACGTGCGTCCGTCAACCCAATACAGTGCTTCGTGGCGCCATAGGGAGCTCCACCGAAGGTCCCAATGGGACCGCCCGCGCGCGCCCGCCACAACAGGTACAACGCTTCGTGGACCCATGGGGCTCCACCGAAAGCCCCAGGTGGACCGCCCGCACGCGCCCACCATACCCACTACAGCGTTTCGTGGCCCGCTTCGTGGTCCCATGGGGAGTTCCAGCGAACGCCCCAGTGGGGGTGCCCGCATGCGCCCCCCCCCCGCACTCATTACGACACGCCCCATCTTGCGTTGCGTGGCACACTTGAAGCGGCACCCACAGCGCGTTACTCACAACTACATATGGTTGGGCCCTTCGCATGGATAATTTCGGCGGTCATCATGGGGGGGACAAGGAGGTCCGACACCGCTACTCCCCAGACATCTCCATGGGTGCGTTTTGACGAGAATTGTGAAGCGAATCTAGCCGTGACGACGAGAGCCTCTCACGAACGGCGATTCCTTGTCTGACGCGAGGAGAGGAGGAATCGGAATCGGAATCGAGCTCTTGGGGCAGTTCAATCAACTCGACGTTGTGAGAAGCCTGGGCCACTCCTGGCGATTCTCGCCAGCTTATAACTCGAAGCTGCTTGCCCATCCGCCCTGAAGACCTGCCAGGGTACTTACATGGTCACAGTGCAAGCAGGAACTCTGCACAGGCGGTCTGGAGCACCGTCTCTGGCCGACAATGCCGACGGACTCCCCCGCACCATCACAAAAAACCGCAGAGTGTGCTTCCGTGAACAGCTCGTTACGCCCACCACGCGTCACTCCTGGCCCAGGATTGCGGGCGCACGAAGCGCACAAACACATCCCCGCATCCCAGGGTCGGGGAGCAGCAAGGGCAGGTCAACAACCTCCTCTCTGTGAAAGTTACAAAAAGTGAAGAAGTTGAGAGCTCAGCCCCAACATGCCACTCTCCAGGCTGCTGGGGTACACGCAATGGGGGGTGACCACTACTACGATCAACGACCGACACCACGGCGACGACGACAGGCTCGACGACCCCAGCGACAGATTTTCTGTCGGTCACCCTCCCCCTCTGCCCCTGCATAGGAGGCTGCAAAACGAGACTGGCTGACGCAACTCGAGGATGCCTCGATCCACCAACTGTGGTCACTTGGCCTCGTTCCACCAACTGTGGTAGGCGATGCGAGCATTGCCCGATCTGCGCTCGCTGGATGGCCGTCAGCCGCACACCCGCGGAGACACACACGCTCACTTGGCTTTCCCCTTGCCCCCCTTGCCCTTGTCCTTCTTGGACGACTTGCCACTCTCGAGCTCCTCTAGGAGCTGTTGGGGCGCTCTCTTGGGCGGGCCGCGGGGGGCGGGCCCGTCCTTGAGCACCCCGCCGTTGGCCGTCAGTGCCTTGACCAGGCAGCCCTGGAGGGTGGAGTGCACGGCGCTCATCGCGATCGTGACCTTCGCGAGGCCAGGCGTTCCCTCCTTCTGCTTGGCGCACTTGCACTTGCAGTACAGCGCTTCGCCTAGAAGATCCGTCGGGGTCCTGCCTTCCTTGGCGACCTGCTCCCCCCAGAAAGAAGCCAACATCACCTTCGTGTAATCCTCCAGGTTGTACCCTGCGACGCCCTGCATGAAACCTGCGAAGACGTGCACTAAGGCGGCCCCAGTGCCTCGAGGGCGGCAGGGTCGTTCCTGGCCGTCGTTGTGGCCTCGTGGAACGCGCGACCCTGCTCGAGCATATGCTTGGCGACGCTGCCGCTTGGCGTCCACGAGCACGGTGCTCCACAGCATACCAGTGACCTCTCTGATCTCCGAGGCGCTCATGAGCGACAGTTGTGTGACGACCACGAGCAGTTTCGAGACCGTGCTGACGTTCCCTCCCGAGGCCATTCTTGTTGGGAAGCGCGTCCACAACTGCACTGACCTCGCCTTGGCGCTTCAGGCCCCAACTCGGGGTCATGAGGAAAGACATGGCGGCCTCGACACTGGTAGTGTTCTCGATGTGTCGGAACGGGGTCCGAGAGGATCGTGAAGGGGGGTGCGTGGATATGGAGATGCTGCTGGAGAGGCTCGCACGTCTGAGCCCTATTGTCGCAGACATGGCACTCGACTCGCTCGGGGTCCCATAGAAACGTTGCCTCTCGATACGTCTGCCCCCGCGGGCGACTCCCAGGAGTAAGTGACGTTGCGCTGTCCTGACACAGCTGAAAATCGTGAGGCAGAAGGGACACACATTCGTAGTCACTAGCCTGGTCCAAATATCTTTTTGTCCATGCATTGCCACGCGATGCTGTGTAACGCCCTTGTACGTGTCAAGACAATATGTGCGTTCCTCCCCCGTTTCCGTCCGATACCAGCATTTCCATCCTTCTCCACCTTCCGTTGTAGTTGCTGTAGCTGTTGGCTGCGTAGGTAGTGTTTCCCTCCTCCATCCTGGCGGCGGTACAGCTGACATGCAGGCCCATTTTTCGTAACACCGCGAAATCCTGCATCAAAAAATCATGCGTAACGTCTTCATCGGTGAATAGCTGTGTCCACCCCGCACGTATACATGTGCCCATGTATCCACCCTCGTCATCAAGTCCTTCCACACCCTCAACTACGTCAAAGACAAATTGATGTGCCAATGGATTTGCTTTTGTCGAGACTGATCCCTCGCACAATGTCGGCACTTCTTCAAACCGGAAGTGCCCGAACAGAGAGCTGAGAATCTGGCCGTTTTTCCACTGGTGGGTGACCATCGTCTGCATCCTCTTCAGGCGCCGCACCCGCATCTCGAGGCAAGCGGGGGCCATGCGCCAATGCTCCAGGACGTGTGCCGTGCTGAATGACCCGTGTTGTGTTCCTGTTGATGTTTCGACCTGCTCATGGGCAGCTCCTCTCATTGCTCGACGTGCATACCTAGCTACCAAATGATCTAGTTATATGTACTGTTGCTGTGAGAATACGTATGCTTCATTAGAACGGAGGGCGGTGTTCTGCACACGACAAATTAAAAAGAGTTCGCTTGGCTCTCCGCGGTGTTCGTTTGAGGGACTAAAAGGCCCCCAGGGAATAAAAAGCCGCCGCCACCGCCTTCTTGCGATAGCTGAATTCAACAGCGTAGCTACAGTTTGGTCCCATGCGTCCCCCCAAGTATCTGGCGTGCGTGCAGTGTGGGGCGGGGAAGGCAACTAATCGACGCTAAATCGGCGCCTCCTCTCCGACTTCAAGACACTAACGCACGCTAATGCACTCGAACAACGGAACTTCGAGGGCACACACGGCTCCCATGATTTGCTACCGAACGCAACCCCAGGATTCGCCCCACCCGGTCCTCTGGATCGAACGTGCTCCTCCCTGACGGCAGGGCGTCCACCCAGCTGGTGAGCCTGCTCACGGTGTCGCGGTCCAGCTGCGTGTGACTGCTGTACGCCTCCAGCAGGCTCATCTTGTTCCTCTTCCACCTGAGCGACGATCAGAAACGAGCCTCACGCGAGATGGCATACGGCAGGTTCGTGCCGTGTCGACCTGGGCGTTGGTCCCTGACACCGCGCTGGATCGTTCAACCTTGAACGATCGGCCGTTCCCGCAACGTCCAATCGTTCAACATCGACCGATTCTGGGCCGCCGTCGGCGTTCAACCTTGAACGTCGGCGGCGGGGTCGCCGCCGGTCGACACGACGCGAACCTACCGTAGCGACCTTACACCGCAGCTGACGGGGCCGCGGGCGCGGCACGCTGCGCTGGAAACGGGGGCGCCCCCGCGCGACGCTGCGCGGGCAACCTGCGCGCAGGTGTCTGTCGGGGAGGACGACCCCGTTGTCTTCTGTTGCCCACCTGCCAAGATCAGTCAACATCGAATCGGGACATCGGAGCGAATCGGAATGTCCATCGGGTCGGGCTGCAACAGCACGGCTTCGAGATCGCGTCGGATCGGCTGCGCCAGGGTACACGGCAGAGCCATACAAGCATTGTGCCTTGCCGAATCTTCAGAGCACCCGAATCGACTCGGATCGACCTGGCCAAAATCAATACCGAACTGGATCGATCGGATCCGCATGAGCCCTGACCTGGTGTCCTCGTCCACTTCACTGACAAGATTGATCACCTCGCTGATGATAATGCTGTGCACGACGGCGCCGATCATCATGACGAATACTACATACAAGATCTCGCCCACAGTAACGGGGTACATGTCGCCGAACCCGACCGTGGTGAACACGGTGAGGATGAAATACATGGAGTGGACCCACTGGACGGGGGAAGACGCAGAGAAGAGCGTGGACTCGTCAATGGAAACTGACCTTCGAGAGCGTGCGCCAACAATCGGCAAAGAAGATCACACAATAACGATCCGAAGGCAAACCCGCAGGACATCGAAGCGAAGGCGCGGAGTCTCAGACAAGGAAGGCGCAGAGGCCCCACCTGTGAAAGCCGAGCTAGCTGAGCCGATCGATGTCAAATCGATGGGCAATCGAATCCACTTGTGGACAGCATCACCTCGCACTCCTCTGTCACCTTCCTCTTCCTCGACATCCTCCTCCTCCTCCTCCTCACCCTCCTCTTGGAACCCCCGCCCCTCTTCCTCTTCTTCCCTCCTCCTCCTCCACCTCCTCATCTCCCCTCCTTATGCTCCTCCTCGTCCCCTTCTGCGACCCTTCGCCCTCGTCCCCTCCTCCACGTTTCCGTCCTCCGCCTCCTCACCAGACTGTATTCTCGCCATCGTTGCGCTACATCCTCTATTTCTCCATTGCCCTGCTCTTTCTCATCATCATGATCATCCCCCGTTCCCCGTCTCCCTCCTCCTCCTCCTCCTCCTCCTCCTCCTCCTCCTCCTCCTCCCCCTCCTCCCTCCAACTCCTTCCCCTCCTCCTACTCCTCCTCCTCCTCCTCCTCCTTCTCCTCCTCCTCCTCCTCCTCCTCCTCCTCCTCCTCCTCCTCCTCCTCCTCCTCCTCCTCCTCCTCCTCCTGTCATCACAGGCATCCTCACCGTCGTCATAATCATCACAACCACCACTGGCATACTCGGCATCGCCATCATCATCATCATCATCATCATCATCATCATCATCATCATCATCATCATCATCATCATCATCATCATCATCATCATCATCATCATCATCATCATCATCGTCGCCATCATCATCATCATCACCACCATCATCATCATCATCATCACCATCATCATCATCATCATCATCAGCAGCATCAGCATCAGCATCATCGTCATCATCATCATCATCATAATCATCATCATAATAATCAGCATCATCATCATCATCAGCAGCAGCATCGTCATCATAACCATCATCATCATCCTCTTCCTCCTCGCCGTCGTCAACGAACAGAAAACTTAAACATCAACATCATCATTCTCATCATCATGATCACCCATCTCGTCGTCTTCCTCGACTTGCACATTGCACGATCTCATCCCTCTTCGCCTCTTCATCCTCTACCCTCAGTGCTCATCATCTTCACCACCATCCTCAATACCACCATCGGAACAAAAACGAATCTCTCCTGGAGCTCGCCCCGACCAGAACTTCAAGGCGCATCCAGCCGTGGAGCCGAGGGCCTCCCAAGAGGCCCCCAGAAGGCCCACAAAAGATCCAATGGTAGCGGCATCGGTGCCTCTTCCTCCCTCGAATCGTCATTGGTATCCGCCGCTGTGCCCCCCGGAACTTTGAGGCGTGATGTCTAGTCAGATCGACGTGTCTAATCCAATCATTCGTTCCTCCCACTCCCACCATGCCTCCTTCCCCTCCGCGCCTCCGGTTCGGCCACGTCTCCAGGTGATTTTCGTGCAGCGCGGCGACAAGGTACCAGCCGCAGGCAAGAAGGTGCACGACCCAGCCCAGGCAGGTGATCCTGGGCAGCTGGGAACTCACAGTCGTCATCTTCCTACTTCTCCATCCCTCAGTTTGTAAAGCCGCCAACCAAACCCTTGCTAACATCTCTGGCAGCAGGTTTTGACTGTTTGAGTTCGCGCGCGCGCGTGGCGGCCCCTGGGGTTCCCAGCTCGAAAAAGAACAGGCGGTCCCCAGGCGGTCGATGTCTCGGATGCCAGCACTCCTGGGAGACTTCAGGGCCCCCAAGAGCGCCCCGAGAACTCCACCCTGTCGCACCTTCGGACGTGTCTGTGAGCTGGGCAGATCGTTTCGCTTGAGAGTTGATTGCATCATGCGACCCTGACGCTGAAAATCCAATGGCTACAAGGATGGAAGGCGCCGGCGGTTTTCAAAACTCAGCTCTCGTCTTGGCGCCACGCACATTCGTTTCAGAAATTCCCGACAGTTACAAAAATGGTGGGCTGGTGGTTCTCGAAATGCCGCTCCCCATTTAGCGCCGCGCACGTCCGTTGTAACAATTTCCGGCACTTACAAATCCGCCGATCCGGCGTGTGAGTGTCAAGGAGTCTCAGCTTCAGCCTCGAGGCTGAGCCTCAGCCTCTGGGGGGGTTGCCGGGGTGGCTCTGCCGGGGAAAGGGGGGTGGGGTGGGGGGTGGGGGGGGGGGACGAGTTTTCCGGCGGTCGCGGGGGGCTGCTTTTACAGAAGGCTCTAACCTCGAGGATGCGCTGAAAGGGTGGCCGCGGCCGCAAAAGTCTCTGAGGACGGTCTAAGAAAGTCCCGAGACCCCGAAAGATCGCCCGAACACGCCCAAGATGGCCCCAAGACGGCCCAAGAGCATTCCAAGACGTCTGAAGAGGCCTCCAAGAGGCCTCCCACGAGGGCCACCAGAGGCAAAAATCGCTAATTTTTATTAGTTGTTTTCAATGTTTTTGGTGTTGTCGCTATTTTCGGCTTTCCGACGCTCCAAGACAGTCCAAGAGGCCCCCAAGACCGCTCGAAGACGGTCCAGGAGGCCCCCAGACAGTCCCAAGACGGCCCAAGAGGGCCCCAAGGCGGCCCAAGAGCCGCCCAAGACGGCCCAAGAGGCCCCCAAGACGGCCCCAAGAGGACCCAAAAGAGGGACGAAAAGCAGAAAAAATCGAGCCTCCCAGCCCAGGAGGCCCCAAGAGCCCCCAAGAGGGCCCCCAAAAGCCCCCAAGAAGCCCCACGACGCCCTGACAGGCTCCTAAGATGGCTCAAGAAACGCCCCAAGAGGGCGTCCTTGCGCCGATAGGCTCGCCTCCACCGCTCGAACTACATCGTCCAGGCCACATTTTTCGTAACAAGACTCCGTGCAAGACGTATCGTGAGTTTACAAAGTGATCGGCATCCTGTATGGAATTTCGCCTAGTGTGTCTCTGTATGTGTGTCTGCCGTATGTGCATTTGGTCGTGTGCATGCGTGAGGTGTCCGCGTAATATGTGTATCCGCTCGGCGTGCGCGCGCGTGCGTTTCCTAACTGGTATGTGTGTGTGTGTGGGTGGTGGTGTGTGCATGCCTGCGGCGCGGATTAGGTGGTGTGACTGTGTGTGTGCGTTTGAGTGTGCGCCCAAAATGTCTGCGTCTGGAGAATAACACCGAGCGACCAGGATCGGCGGCACTGGCCGAAGGCCACTACAGTATGGAGGGTCGGTGGTTTTCGAAATGCGACTCTCCAACTAACACCGCGCACATTATACCAAAACACTGCCAACCTCCGCCACTGACAACGATGGAGGGCTGGTCGTTTTCAAAACGGAGCTCCCGAGCTGGAGCCGCGCATATCCCTTACACAAGATCTCAACAGCTACAAAGTGATGGAGGCTGATTCGTCTTCAAACTGCGGTTCTGGCTTCAGACTCTCTCAATCTCTCTGGCGCAAGCTTCAACATCCTGCAACGGTTGCACAGATGGGTAGCGGTTCCGTTTGAGAATGGGATCTCGCTTGAGACTGTCGCACGTTGTGGTATCCAAACTTGGACCTCGCGCAAGAGTTACACGGATGGATGTTAGGTCATACAACGGGGGTGTCGCTGGACACTTCCTTGTCATGTGCCATCATACAGGCCTCGGAAAACATTAGCGAACACTCATGCCACATTCATCTGTGAACGCCTCCCCCTTCCCCCAATGTTCAAAATTGGCGGTGGGTCTGATGAGTTGCACCTCGACCGCAGTCTCCCCCCCGCGTACCAACTTCGAGTTTGGGGGGCAGGGGGGGTGTTCACAAATTGTTTCCCTCTACCGTACCTCTCGGCGCTTCCATTGACTAGACGGATGGAAGTGGACCCTTTACAAAAACGAGGTCTAGCCTGAGTGGTAGGCCCGCCATGGGGCTCGTCTTTCACAAGAGGGCGCTTCCCGCAGTGGAAAGGACTGCCTGCCTGTACAGATTCTGGCGAGGAGAACTTGGGACGGAATGGCGTAATGCATTGACGCATCCTGGGTTTAATCTAATCATCCTCCTCATCACCATGATAGGTCTACCTCCTCCCTCCTCATGTTCCCGCAACTCCTCCGTCCCTCCCTATTTTTCCGTCCGCATTCCCCTCCCCTCCTGCTCTGCATCTTCCCCACACTGCTATCCCATCATCCTCCCCCTCCTCTCATCCGTCCTGTTGAACGGGTGTGAAGCTAGGTGGTCTGTCGTGGCGGTGCCTCCCCTTGCTACCTTACGAACCAAATTAACCAACATCATCATCAACAACAACAACAACCTCATCGGCATCATCATCGGCGCCCTCGTAGCCGTCATGAATATCCACCACCGTGCCTCTGAGCACAGAATGGGCGTGCCCTCAGGTCCTTTCCCTGATCATCTAAGCCTCAATCCCCACTTCTGAAGAGTTTTAAGGGGCCTGGACCCCAAATTCTCAAATCTCTCAGGGCGTGTCGCGTACCGCCTGAGCTCCCCCGCGTGGTGGTGCGTGACTTTTTGGGGCCCAAAAGGGGCCCAAGACGGGCCAACAGGGCCCCACGATGCCCTCTAGACGGTCCAAGAGGGCCCCGAGACTCCGAAAGATCGGCCCAAGACGCCCAAAATGGTCTCAAGATGGCCCAAGAGTCGGGCAAGACGCCCCAAGAAGCCCCCAAAAAGGCCTCCAAGATGGCCCCAAGAAACAACCATCATATGTTTCCCGTGAGTGTCGGAAAGATTTGAGCGTTGTCGCCTGTTCTGTTTCCCAACGCTCCAGGACGGCCCAAGAGCCCCCCCAAGACGGCCCAAGAGGCCCCCAAGATCGCCCCAAGACGGCCTACGAGCGCCCTCAGACGGCCCAACAGGCGCCCAAGACTGTCCAAGAAGGGCCCCAAGACGACCCTAAAAGGGGCCCGAGCCTTCAGTCCCAAGAGGCCCCACATCCACTAGACTTTGTATCCACCGACCAGGTACGGTGACAGGATTGGCCGAAAGCCATTCGAAAATAATCGGAATCGCAATCATTATTTCGAAAATAAGCATCACCATCATCAGCTGTGCCACCAACAGCAGCAGCTCAACAACATCATACATCATACTCTTCAACATCACAACCCGATCATTCCTCCTCCTACTCATCATCATCACCAAAACGATCACCATCACCGCCATCATCATCATCATCATCATCATCATCATCATCATCATAAACATCCGGATCAATATGACCATCATCATCATCATAAACATCATCATCATCAGCAGCATCATCATCAGAATCATCATCATCATCATCAGCATCATCATTGCCACCAATGTCATCATCACCAACACCATCACCATCAACATTATCATCATCATCCGCAGCAGCATCGTCACCATCACCATCACCATCACCATCACCATCACCCTCATCACCCTCATCATCATCATCATCACCATCACCATCATCATCATCATCATCATCATCATCATCATCATCATCATCATCATTAGCATTATGAAAAACATCCGGATCAATCTGACCATCATCATCATCATCAGCAGTATCATCATCATCATAATCATCATCATCAACATCATCATTGCCACCAATGTCATCATCACCAACACCATCAACATCAACATTATCATCATCATCATCAGCAGCAGCATCGTCACCATCACCATCACCATCACCATCACCATCACCCTCATCACCCTCATCACCCTCATCATCATCATCATCATCATCATCATCATCATCATCATCATCATCATTAACATTATGAAAAACATCATCATCACCATCTACACCGTCATCATCATCATCAAAACAATCGTCATCAACAACATCATCAACATCACCATCATCACCACTAGCAACATTCTTCCATGAACACGACCCGGGACCAAACCCCGCGGGCGCTGGACCGCAAACGTTTCAGCCGCAACATCCTGCCGAGAACCGAACAAGGCAATTCGCGAATCGTCTTAGCAAGGCGGGGAGTTCTTCTGGCAGGGTGGGGAGTTCTTCTATCAGCCTCGGAGACACGAGGAACGAGGAGGAGTGCATCGGGTGCGTCCTGAGGACGCAAGCGAGCCTCCAACGCCTCAACACTCTAGGGAGCGGGGCCTGGAAAAAGGGTGGACCGACGTCTCGAGGTTTTGAAGCCGAGGATGGCGGACAGCCGCGATATCGGAGCATCTATTGCGAGGCACCTGGTGATGGTTCATATCTTGATCGTCTTCGCTGGCCGCCACCCCCTCCTGACCCCCCACCCTCCGACGATCCTCAGGAGTCGAGACCCATGCGAGGTCGAATCGCGAGAGTGACTACCTACCAGACCACCCCAACCTAACCCGACGCCCCCCCACTGAGAGTGGATGACAAATTAGGTCCTTCGCGCTGGGTTGGGGTGGTCTAGTGGGTGATGAGAGAAGGGAGGCGGACCTGCCTCGGCGGTGGTATGGGAAAGAAACACATCTGCCTGGAGCGGTGGGATGCGGGAAGGGCGTGCGCTGCCAAGCCGGGGAACCAATTATCCTAGCGAAGGGCCCAACCATCTGCAGTTGTGAATATCGCCGTTGTGGGTATCGCCTT